AGTGAAATTTATTGTATGACAATATTAGAATTTTAATATTATTCAATAATATTTATTATTATTCACTAATATAATTTTTTCAAGAGAATGTAACACTTAGATTTTTTATCTTATTAAAAAGAGAAACTTTGTCAAAAATAGTATTAATTTGCTAGTTGCAAAGTAAGTACTTCAGCTAGTTAAGAATAATTGATTAAAACTTTTTCCCTCTGTGAAAAAGCAGGTTGGTATAATAAATTCTATACCAAAACCGTCTGCTTATCATTTATGTTAAAATGTGTAAGTAATAAATTGCCAAACGAGATGATTTTGAACCGATATCATTCGAGAGGGACATTAGTAGAAAATTTTTATTCATTTCAGAATATATTTCTAATAAAACAATATAAATTAGTTTTTTTTACACTTTATGCAGAATTTATTTCTCTTTTGAATGATGTAAAAATTATATTTTTCTACAACTTGAAAAATTTTTAATGCTGGATTAATTTAAATTATCCAAATTTTTGCAAAAACAAAAGTTTAAGACTGCATGGGTATTATTATATTTAAAGCAAAAAGTTATAAAAAAAAAAAAAAAAAAAAAAATTTATCAATATTTAGTGCCGTAACCTTTATTATTAATTACAGCTTCACATCACCTAGGCATCGAGCTTGATAAAAAAGCAAAAAAAAATCATTTGGAATGCTCTGCCATATTTGCTTAATATAATCATATAATTGGGCTAAATTTGGAATATTTTAATTTTTTTTTAAATGAACTCTTTTAGAAATATAATTCCATAAATTTTCAATTGGATTAAGATCCGGACTCTGTGGAGGCCACTCAATGACATCCATATTATGGTGATCAAAAATTGCATTACTTTTTTGGCTTTGTGAATGGGGCTATTATCTTGTTGATAAATAGCTCCAGGTGGCATTTGGTCAGTCAAATATGGCAGAACATGTTCCTTAACTAGCTGCATATAGCCTACACTGTTGAGTTTTCCATCAACTTTAACAATTGGACCAATACCAAAGCTACTGAACGCACCCCACACCATTACACCCCCCCACACACACACAACTTCTGCTTGCACCATCTTTTTGACAGATTTAGGATGGAATTCCTTGGTTGGGCGGCATCTGACAAAGGTTTTTCCATCTGATCCAAAGATGCAAAAGCATGACTCGTCACTCCAAAGAACTCTACAACAGTCGTCAGCTGTCCATTGAATGTGACTTTTTGCAAAATTCAGCTGCTTGAGTTGATTCCTCTCTGAAATAATTGGCTTTTTTCTAGCAATGCACCCAAATAATTCAAATTCTCTTAGACGGTTTTGGACAGTTTGCTGTGTAAAACTAACGTCAGATAAGTTTTACCAGATAATTGGCTGCAAATGTCCACGGCCGTCAGCATTCGGTTACCTTGGGAAAGCCTATGAATTCGTCTATCCAGTTGCACTGTTGTTTTTCTTGGGGCTCCTGATCTTTGCCTATCCTTATATTGTCCAGTATCCTGGTAAAGCTTCCAAGCCTGAACACAAGCCATTTTGCTGCACTTTAATTGCTTGCTTATGTTCATAAAGGAAATATTTTGTTGATGAAGTAACACTATTTTTGATCTAGTCACTGGGCTAAGACTACGAAGCTTTCCCATAGCAAATTAATTGTATAACAATGCTCAGTTATTACACTATATAATGCATTAATGACCAACCAAGTGACCACGAATTTAGCAAATAATTTGCATCATACCTATCCAGTCTTAAACTTATTTTGCTGGCAAATTTGGATAATTTAAATTATTCCAGCATTAAAGTTTTTCAAATTGTAGAAAAATATACAATTTTTACATCATTCGAAAAAAGAAATATATTCTGCATAAAGTGTACACAATAAAACTAATTTATATTGTTTTATTACAAACATATTCTGAAACACAATTATATGGAAAATCCTCATTGAAAACACAACTATAACAAAAACAAAAACTAAAAATTCTTGAAGCTCTATACAGAAAACAGTTGAAACCTAAGCTGAACAAAATAAACTACGAAATCTCCACAAATATTCTTAAATGCCTATAATTGATAGCAGAAGCCATTGGTTTATACCAATGGCTTCCCATACTTAATACAACTCATTTTCACTCTCGTTTCGTTATATGTGATGTCACGAGCTACAATGCGATTTTTGCTTCCACGTCTCGTATACACAAGTTTGTCATTGCTTTGAAATTTTTCATGCAACAAAAACAACCTATCATTATTGTTTCGTCTGTGTATTGTTTGATATATTGAAATACAATCGTCATCTTTGATAATAGCTGATGTAAGCCGAAAGCTTAGATAGGATTTAAACATGTATCAATATGGTGATTTCCTTTTGTCTTTCAATGATAATGTTATAAAGCTTATCAGACAATATGAAAGGAACTTACTTAAAATAGACACAACTTGTCTATATTATTTAATAAAACAATGCATCAATATATATATATATAATTATTCACTGTTACATTAGAACATGTAAATATCCATAAGTGGATATTTACATGTTCTAATGTAACTGCATTATAAATATTTATTGCTCTATTTTTTTTTATTGAAAAATGAAATTTTTAAATAATAATGTTTTGAACATTGAAATTTTATTCTGTGTTCTTTTACATTTGTATATATATATACTTTAAAAAAATCAGAGGTGAGTTTAATCTGCTACCTTGGTTTCAAACTTATTAATAATAATTAAAAACAGAAAAAGCATTAAGAGGTGTTTAAAGTTGAAACCAAGATATGGATTCAACTGACCTTCTGATTTTAAAGTTTTTTTTTCTTATTTGTTATTTCTACTTTATTTTTTCATGTGTATTGATTTTTTTAATACTACTTTTTGGTCTGGTTCAACTCTGACCATTAACTTTTATATATATATATATATATATATATATATATATATATATATATATTAGAGGCAGATTATTCTAATTAAAAAATTAGAACTGCTTACACAATATTTCAAGCTCAATTTAGGTTTATAGTTTGTAGTTATGCAATGAGATGAGGTAACAAACTCTAGATTTGTCTGCAGAATATATTATTGTTGCATAATTATAGTGAAACCATTAAGCTTTTTTTGTCAAAAGCATTTTTGGTCGTATATTAATTTAAAATATTCCTTTTTACAGGCTTTATTTTTTAAATGGAATGAGATCATTGTAAATTTCTGAATTTCACTATTGCCCATCAAAATGACTGGAAGAAAGTGATCTAAAAATAACAATGGAAAAGAGAGGTAACAAAGTGTAATTGAAATAGCTCCAGTTTGTTCAACTAAGAAAACTTAGCATTGCAGCCAAAGTATTCTAAAACGCTGCCAATAACAAAGGAGAAAGTGAAAAATACTTAAAAGCGAATCACATATAGCATCAAAATTTGCATTATTTTTATTTCTTTGTTATGTAACTAAATCCATAATTGTCAACAATGTTTCCATAAAATTTGATATTTCTTGTAATAAATTCTTAATAAATATTATTATTGTTATTATTTTACTTAAGTGTAAGATATTCCTACATTTACAATTTCTTACGACTAACCATGAAAAGAAATGTTGATCAAAACTTCCTAAAACCTTTAAGTGTGTATTGCCGCAAAATTATCAGATGTTGAATATGTCCCTCCTCTGCCAAACACATCATATATTCCCTAATGTAAAATAATTTTTTTTTTTTTGCTAATGCTACATATCTAAACAAAAGTTCTCATTACTGGCATACCACAATAATTGAAGAAGGTTGTTAAGGGAACACTAGGGAAAATTATACTACCTTATATGACTAGGCAGTAACAGCCAAAAGCTGATACTCTATAGATGCCATGTTAACAGGATTTAAAATATGCCAACTGCATCCCCTGGAGATAGCTAAGACCCCACCCTCGACCCACCAAAAAAGACAACTTTCTTGGTGGATACTAGCAGGCTCAGGTACAGACTCAACCTAGGTTTACCTTTTTGACTCTAATGAAAATCTGACATGTTTACTTATATATTAAATTATTGTGATTTTTTTTTCCTATAATACTTATATTTGACATTAAATATCCCTACGAGGGTTGATATGCCATTGAATTAACAAACCTACCCAAACTATATCATCGTCATCATCACTGATTTAACCAAAAGCATAGAGAAGTTGGTACACTAAAAAAAGGAGGACTTTATTATTAAGGGTACACAGAATTTGATGAATATAATTAAGAATTACAGAAGAGAAAAAAGAAGAGGGAAAAAAATGAAAATTTAAACAGTAACTGCATGAGTGAACAAAATAAATTGGTATGCCAAAATGCACAAAGTAAAATAGTATGCATAAAGTAAATTGGTATGCCAAAATGCACAAAGTAAATAACTATGCCAAAGTAAATTAGTACACCAGAGTGCACAAAGTAAATTGGTATGTCAGAGTGCAAAAAAAATTTGTATGCTAGGGTACACAAAGTAAATTGGTATGCTGAGGTGCACAAAGTAAAGTGGTATGCCAGGGTGCACAAAGTAAAGTGGTATGCTAGGTTGTACAAAGTAAAGTGGTACACTAAAATGCATTTTTTAAATTGGTACACCAGATTACAGAAAGTAAATATGTACACCAGTGTATACAAAGTAAATTGGTACACCAAAGTACATCAAGTACCAATTGCCCAACTACTTAGCGCCATAAATTCTATTTGTAGGGACATGACTGTCCCTACAAATAGAAAGAAAGCAATGAGGCTGAGTTTCAAAAGATAATCTTTTTTGGTGCCATTGCCCCCCAAAGAATTGGAAGGATGTAACTTTTAATCATTGATATCATCAATGGAAACAATTTAAGAAAAAAAATGCAGAAAAAAAGGAAAGCCATGTAATGACATGCATTTGATGTTAAACATAATAATTTGGTTTCCCTGGTAACTTCCAACCACAACAGAGAAAAATAAATTGTTTCCTATTTGTTTTTTTGTTTTTGTTGTAGATCAAAAAGAAAATAAAGGCAAGGAAAATGAAGTGAAATCAAAAAGAATGCAAGCTATGACAATAAACAGCAGCTGGATGCAAACATCATGAGTTTTATTTTCTTGAGTTGGAAGAAGATGATTATAGAAATGGAGGATCTGATACAATCTCCTTAGAGAGAAGGAAAAGAAGGGGTAAAAATTAGGAGGAGGAAAAAGGAAGAGAAATAAAAATAGAGAGAGAGTGATAAAAATAAGAGAGAGAGAGAATGATAAAGGAGAGTAAGGAAGAAAGAAGAGAGTAAAGAAGAAAGTTGAAAGAGAGAGGAAAATAGAGCAGAATAAGCGAGCGTGAAGGGAGGGGAAGAGAAAATAATAGAGTGGTGAGAGAGTAGCTAGAGTAGAGAGGGAGATAGAAGAGGAAGAAAAGAATAGAGTTAGAGGGAGAGAGAAGAGTAGCTAGAGGAGATAGGTGTAGCTAAAGCTTATAAGATTTGCTCCATTTAGACAAGAGGGGAGAGGTGTAGATTAAAAAAAGAGAGGGAATTTTCAATTAGAGGAGAAAAGGGAGATTTGGAAGCAGAGGAGAGAGAGAGGGAGTTGTTTTTTAAAAAAGAGGGAGAGAGAGGGAGAAATTTTAGTGTTGGAGATAAAGGGAAGGTGTAAATAGAGAAAATCCTTTTAGGAGATTGTAAAGGGGAGCTAGAGGAGGGAGAGGTGTGTTTTTTGAGGGAGAGAAAAAGAGTAGCTAGAGTAGTGAGGGGGATGTTTTATTTAGAGCTAAAGAGAGAAATTTCTTTAAATAGGGGAGAGAAGAGTAGCTAGAGTAGAGAAGGGGAGAGAAGAGTAGCTACAATAGAGAGAGAGTGGAGAGTAGTGGGGGAGAAGTGTAACTAGAGTAGAGAAATAAGAAAGAGATAAATGTAGCTAGAGTAGTGAGAGAGAAGTGTAGATAGAGTAGAGAGAGATGGAGAGAGTGAGTTGTGACAGAAGGAGAAAGTGAGGGGAGAGAGGGAGTAGCTAGAGTAGAGTGGAAGAGAGAGTAGAGTAAGAGAGTGGGAAGAGCGATGGAAAGAGTGAAGAGTAGTTAGAGTAGAGGAGAATGCAAGTGCAGAAGAAAAGTACCAAAAGTAAAACTGAAAAAAAAAAAAAAAAAAAAAAACATCCACATATTGCAAAATAAAAAACAGAAAAAGAAAAAAAAAGTAAAACAAAAACAAAACAAAAAACAGTAAAGGAAAAGCAAAAAAAAAGAAACATTAGAAACTAGAACGTCCCTCCCACAAAAATGTTTCTTTATTTTATATACGAAGATGAAAAAAAGTTATGCATAAAACCCAAGAAGCAGATCTTTTTACAAAAGCAGGTTACATGAAGAAGAAAATTGTGCTAGTTTCCTTGTACTTGGACAGGTGCAAGAAATCCCAGGTATTTTTTTTTGGTGGGGGGGAGAAATATCTCAAGTGTAAACATATTTTTTCTCCCTATTAACATTTTTTAATTGTTGCATTTCAAATATGTTTAAAAAGAAAAGAAAAAAAGTTTATCTTTTGAATTTAATAAAAATATGGATTAAAAGTGAAACTGGCACTTTATTTGGAACAAGGCCAGAGATGTGAGCACCCCCCCCCATAAGGCTGAAACTTGGGTGCTTTGATGTAGTGTAGTTCGATACTCACTGGATGTTCCATACTATTGGCCTTGTGTCCCACCTAAGTTACACCTAGTAAATCACTATAATAGTAATGATCTTCAACAGTAGCATGCTACCATGACACCATTTACATATTTTGGTGTAAATTTGGAATACAAGTGACATTATCAGCTGTGTGTGGCACGAGTGCACAAACACACACACATATGTACATTCACTGATTCGCTAAAAAATTAGCATACCATGATGAAAAAATGCCCCAAACTTAATAAAATCAAAGTTTTAACTTCAAAATCTTTGTGTTATTATTAAAATGAAAGACCAAAGGATTTTTTGATTTTTAAATCGTATTTCTTTATCCTTTTTAAAGCATTCAAATCTTTCATTAAAAATCGTATTTTTTTTTGTCAGTGTGTGTGTGTGTGTGTGTGTGTGTGTGTGGAGAGTGGCAAAGATGAGTCTGAAAAATTTTAGCATCTTTTTTTTTGCATTGATTTGAAAATTCTTGCAAAGAATTGTCAGATTTTAATAAAACTTTCAGGACTTATTCATAAATGAATGAATTAAATTATTTTAGAATTTTTCTTTTTTTTAGAAAATCTTGGTAAAAATATTTTTTTTTTTTTTTTACATCAGTTACCCCCAACTTTTTTAATTTTATGAAATTTCAAGAAATTGTTTTTTGTAGAACTTAATGTTTATATTAGTTACAGGCAGATGTCCTTAGAGAATTTAAATTATCAATTTCCTTAATATTTAAAAAAAATTTTTTTTCATTTTTTTTAGAAAATCTTGGGAAAAAATATTTTTTTTTTTTTTTGCATCTATTACCCCCCCACATCCAATAATCAAACATTTTTAATTTTATGAAATTTTGAGAAATTATATTTTTTATTTCCTTTAGTTAAAATCAGAACTCCTTGGAGAATTTAAATCAACAGTTTTTTGGGTTTTTTTTTTTTTTTATAAAAAGAAACACCATTTACCAAAAATTTGCTCTGAATCCTAAAATAAAAAATGCACTAAAAATAAAACATTATTTATCTAGAAAAGCTTCTAATTACTTTTATAAATATGATATATATTATATATATTATACACACTATTATCTTAAGAAAAAAAATTTTATTGATGAATAATGAAATTTTACAAGAATTGTTTCATTTTTTTAAAATTACAATAAGTTTGAAATCTTTTAAAATTCCATATTAATTTCACCCTTTTAGATGATATTGTTATTAAGTAAAAACAACATTTATTAATCATAAATGGAAAAGCTTAGTGCAAATCATCAAACACCAATATTTTTAAAAGAATTTTGATTTTTTTTGTAAGTGTATAAACGTCCATACACAACATTATCAGAAAATAAGAGCATAGAAAATAACTTTAATAAATTTGGAGCCAAAGTATCTCAAATTTAATAAAACATTTGATTATGGAAAATATTTTTCAAAATTTTAAAAATTACTGAGTACTTAAAATTATATTTAAAAGGCATTCACTTTATATTACGGATAAAGCCCAAATACATAAATTTCGTGTGCACTTTAAAAAATTTATAACTTTATTTGTACTTGCAATAGAAATAATCTGTAAAAAATGTTATAAAGTTTAATGTACCTAGTTTTAAGTATAGTTATTGAATAATTCTTTACCACAAAATTTGCAACAATTTTTAGATCAGTAAAAAATAGTTTTTTTTTTCCAGAATCAATTTGATCCATGTCTTCAACTGAGGGAAAAAGTAAACTGTCTTTGGTTGGCTGAACTGAAATCTACTATTGCTGTACAAAGAAAGTTTAGAATTGAATACAATAAAGAACCCCTCATAGGAACACTATTGCTAAATGGATGAAAAAATTTAAAGAGACAGGCTCCGTCCATGATAAGCCAAGGTCTGGAAGGCCATGTATCAGCGATGAAAGTGTTGCATCCATAGAAAATCCTTTACAACAAATCCAAGAAAGTCTGTAAGACGTGCATAATTAGAGCTCAGGCTCCCAAAGTCTAGTGTTAATAAGGGGATGGTGGGCAAAACTTCACATGAAAGCTTACAAAATTCAATTACATCAACAATTGCTAGTAGAGGATTATTATGGAGATAACTGTATATGTCATCAGTTCAATGAAAATTTGGCAATGATGATGCATTTGTAAGTAGTTTACTGTTCTCTGATGAAGCAACATTTCACATTGGTGGCAAGGTCAACAGGCATAATTGCCGAATTTGGGGAACTGAAAACAAATGTTGAACATGAAAGGGACTGAAAAAAAAAAGTTAATGTGTGGTGTGCTTTGCAGAAAAAATCGGATCATAGGGGCCATATTTTTTCAGTATCGTGTTATTAACAATGACATCTATTCAGATATGCTGCAGAATTACTTTATTCCGCAGCTTGAACAATTAAACTTGAAAGATAATCCAGTGTTTCAACAAGATGGATCTCCTTGTCATTTTTACTCTGCGTGTTAGAGAGTTTCTAAATCCGGAATTTCCTAACAGATGGATCGGAAGATGGTGGACAGTTTTATTGGCCTCCACGTTCGCCAGATTTGACTCCATTAGTTATAATTTTTAAAGTGAACACTAACTTTATGGACATCTTGTATATTTGGATTTCTTTTCTATTTTCCGATAGAAACATTTTAAGATATATTTACATTTCTTTTCTACATTCTGTATTGAACAATAAAAAAAAAGGCAATATTTGCATTTGTTATCTGCCTTTGAATGGAAAAAAATATCAAAATAAGCTATTTTTCCAATAGTGTTCTAAATTTTTATTTGAAAATTGATAAATCAGCTATATTTCCATTAGTTTTCTACCTTTTTGATGGAAAGATATCAAAATCTGCTATATTTCCATTTGTTTTATACCTTTGAAATCGAAAAAACAAAAATAACATATATTTCCATTTGTTCTCTATATTTCAATAGAAAATATCAAAATATACTATATTTCTATTTGTTTACAACATTCACAATACAAAAATATCAAAATAAGATATATTACAATTTATTTCCAACATTTTTCAGTAGACAAATAAAAAAAATAATATATATTTTAATTTTTTTTCTTCTATTTCAATAGAAAAATATCAAATAATCTATATTTCTATTTGTTTTCAGATTTTGTAAAAAGAAACATATCAAAAAATAAGATATATTTCTATTTCTGTTGTATCTTTTCAATCGAGGAATATCAACCACCTATATTTCCATGTTTTTTTTTTTTTTTCAATTAAAAGCTAATTACAAGCTATATTTCCATTTCTTTTCTATCTTTTCAATTGAAAAATATCAAATAAAAAATTTCTTTTCTTTCATATGTCTTTAATTGTTTTTTATCAAAATATGATATATTTTCCACATTTTTTCCTACCTTTTCAATAAAAAATGTCAAAATAGGCTACATTACCATTTCTGCAGCAAAAAAAAAAAAAGTCCCATGTACATGACAACCCAGGTCAAACAGCAATCAGGATTATTTCTAGATTGAAAAAAATATGAAAAAGACTTAAGGACTCTCAAACCTCAAAATACTGAACAAGCTGAAGCCCAAATCAAGTCCATTTAGTGGACCCTTTCCTGATTTTCCATTAGTGGAGCATACCAATAGGTTTGCATACTTTTCTATGCGATCCTTTCCACTCAGTGAAACTTGAATGACGATTGGATAGCAGAAGCTAATTTATATGAGCTCGCTAACCTCATTCAGAGGTGAAGCATTTTTGCTTTCATGCAAAAGCAGCATGCGACACGAAAGTGTTTTGATTTTCGGTCATGTCACTATCTTCCTCTGTGCACATTTTAAAAGTGCATCTTATTAAAATGGCGAATGATAATTCAGAACTTGTGGATAATAGCACAGAACATTTTTAAATGTATTACATTCTATTAGTCGTTGGTAGAAAGTGTGACAGACATCAGGGGGTGGGAAAGATTAAATTCAAACTGAGCGAGCGACACTGTCAATAACTTTTTTTCTCTCCATAGTAAAGTTTTTTTTTTTATCCATACATTGGTTTATATCTAAAATAAGGTTTTTTCTTGTACACTTATTTATGAGTCATGTTTGCATTTTTATTTCAGTAGGATAAATAAATATATACGATTTATACAGATATTTAATGAGTTTAATTTATTCCTGCACAATGCTATAGGTGTGGTACAAGTTTTCAAATATATATTTGCTCGATTACCTTGCAAATAAACATTGTAAACCGTTCTTTGTTCCTACGAATCCACTGCACTTATAATGCAAAACCGTTTTAATCACCAAACATAAATAAAATCATTATTACTGGACTGAAACATTAAGTTAACATTAAGTCAATGCAAGAATAAGTTCCCTTCCTTACTCAAACCTGTAATAAGGTCCGTAATTTGATAGCTATCATTTTTGAGCAGATTATTTTATCGAAGCTTATCTAAGGGTTTCTCAATATACGAACACATTTGATAAGTATTTGTTTCAGTTTTTTTTCGTTTTTATAATGGAAAGCGTTATTTAATTGCCTCAAGAAAATGTTAAAAAGTATGCTGAACAAAGCGTATTTCACGTCAATAATTGAATCAGATTTTGTCCTGATTAATAAGTCGTAATCATTTAAAGTCCAGATAATTTGCTTATTCCCTAATTTTCGAATAAAAAAAGAAAATTTATATGCAGAACACAAACTGAACACAATTTCTTCAGAAGTAAAGGTAAAGCTGGATAAATTGATGTACGGTGCAGGCTAATGCATAACGCATTTAATTAAAGGGTTTGAAGCGTCTATTCGTTTATAAGTGGCACCTTCTTACTTCATTGCTGTTTACAAGTCGAGGTTCTGCTAAGTTTGAATTTGTCAAAAATCAGTGATTTTATTGCGGTAAATAAAAATTAGTTTTTTTTGTTCTAATTCTAAGTCAAACAGTTTTTTCAAAAATGCTTATGCTTCTGTAATGCACTCCAAAAAAATGAAAGTTTTAAGATTTTAATTGATTAATTTGAACAAACATCGAAAAGGTATTTTTTGGTTGGTCATAAAGATAAGACCATGTGAAAAAAAAAAATTACTGGAAAAAATTTTAGAATTATTCTGTGTGCTCATAGCTTCAGGCAGGCATGTAGACATCTATTTTAGCTCATTTCCAGTATTAAATTTCTGATTTTAAAAAGGCTAAGGGTAAATTTTTAACAAAATTCGAACAGGGCAGGATTGTTGAAATTCAAAGACATGATCTTTTGCAACGAGCCATTGCAAATGAAATTGGCCGTAGCAGAATTGTCATTGCTAACTTCATTAAAAAAAGCCGGATACGTATGCTTCTAAAAATCAAGAGTTCGCCCCAATAAAATTTCACCATCTCTAGACAGACGAATTAGGCGAGAAGTTAAGAGAGATTCAAACCTAACATCAAATCAGATAAAAGTGAATACAGATGCTGAATGCAGCTCTCGAACAATTCGACGGCATTTAAATAAGAAAGGGTTTAGGAACGTGAAACGGCTGCAGAGGCCTTACTTTTCTTTTTCGCTATAAAACCTCCAATTTACAATTTGCTTCCGATTATCAAACTTGGGATGTGGATAAATGGAAGAAAGTGTTGTTTTCAGATGAGAAAAAATTCAACCTTGATGGCCCAGATTGTTTTCAGTGTTAATGATATGCAAAAAATGTCCCAAAAGAAATTTTCTCAACAGGATTCAGTGGAGGTGGATCAATTATGGTCTGGGGTTCATTTTCGTACAATGGAACTCTTGAGTTATAAGAGATAAAAGGTTGTCAAATAGCTGTTAGTTACATTGACATGTTAAAAAAGGCATCGGTAATTACTGAAGGCCTTTAATCTATGTGGAGAAAAATTGGATTTTCAGCAGGAAAATACTGCAATCCACAACGGTCGAAGGTCGAAGGATTTTTTTTTGTTTTTTTTATAGAAAACAACATTTAGCTTTTGAGCCATCCACCGAGTTCTCCAGATCTAAACCTAATCGAGAATGTTTGGGGATGGATGGCAAAGAATGTTTATAAACATTTGAAACTGTGGATGCTCTTTTGAGTTACAGTTTATGCATCCTGGGCGAACATCCCATGCACCCTCATACAGAAGTTAATAATGAGGATGCCAAAGTGAATTTTGAAATAATTCGCAAAAATGGAGGATATACTGAATATTAAATTTTCGTTGTGACTTATTTGTTCGGTATTTTCTATTTTTATTTACATGGTTTTATCTTTATGACCAACCAAAAAAAAAAATACTTTTTCAATGTTTGTTTTAAATTAATCAATTAAAAGCTTAAAATTTTCACTTATTTATTAATAAACTACATTTTCTAATTAAATATTTCCTCATAACTACATTTTCTAATTAAATAATTTTCTAATCACAAATATATTTCAATTAAACTAACAGTTATTTGTTTTTTAAATTATTCTATTTAGGGGCTATTGGGTGAAATAATTGTTTTTTGGCTATTTATTTATAAATATTTACATGCCTCTATCCCTGTGATTAAGCACTTTAACCCATAAGTTTTGCATACCATAAAACTATATTTTATCATACATACATATATATATATATATATATATATATATATATATATAAATAAAATGGAGAAAAAGAATCTAAATTAAATCAACTATATTAAAAAAAATTTAATTTTAAATTTCCAGCATCCCTCATTTGTGCACATGTGTAGTCACACAAAAATAACAAATTTCATCCAATGAAGTCCTAAAGGACAAAATGTGTCACAAGAAAACTTTTTCCAGTTTGTCATAAATTTTTCCCTTATATATATATATATATATATATATATATATTGGTTGTGCCTTAATTTGAGTCATGTCATCACTTGATTTATTCTCAAATATCAACAGTGCAGATGTGGTTTTTTAGTCTTGTTAAGGTTTTACATTCTTTTATACAGATGTGCCAATATTGGGCACTGCTTGCACTCATTCTTACATTAATATTTTGCTGAACTTTCAATGTGTGCCATCTTTGATGATTTGTGAGGACTACCCTACTTAGATGTCACTACATCATTACACGTTATATCAAAACATGCATATATCCATACATGCACTTTATATATAAATACATATACATACACACACACATATATATATATATATATATATATATATATATATATAGAGAGAGAGAGAGAGAGAGAGAATCAAATTACTTATAACTTTTAAAAGGTAGCATTAAAATAAAAAAAAACAATAAATAGAAATCTATGGAGGAGGGGGAGGAGTGTATACAAGAAATAAACTATCAATGTCATGTCACTATGGCTAATCTAAAAGATTAACTCAATATTATGAATGGATTTTTAGAACCTCATAAATTATCCCTATCTGATCATAATCTGGTATTAACCTGATACCAAATGAGATGAACAAAAAATAAACACAAGAAGGAAAAAAAAAAAAAAGGAAAAAATGATACTAAATATGCTTGGCTCACAAAAGATTGTAATTTGAATCATTCAACCAAAATTAGAAACAAAAAATTGAAAGCCATTTTTGGTCAAGTTTCAAGTTACAGCTTTCTTGAGTTTAAAAAAAAAATCTTTTAGATAATGGTTTATCTTAGAATTTCCTGATTGCAAAAGAGATATTTTTGTTGACAACAGATACAGTCAGTTTTGTTTCTTGTATTAACCCATTAATGGCTGTCATCATTTTATTTTTGTTTTGTTATTTTTATAAAACTATAATAGATGGTTTTTTAGCCTTTAATTAATACAGGATTTTTAATTACATTATTTAGAGTTGGACTAACATCTTCATCTCTGTTGTTAATATCACAACATCTCAGTCATTGTATCCCCACTTGGCCTATTCAGGTACCTGTCAATCCAGGTAAGCTATAAGGAAATTTTAAACTGAATCCTGTCATTTAATCCATGGGGGTAAATTTTCCTTGTTCTGCTAGCTATGTCTAGAAATTTACTGAAGAATCGACAGACATTTGAAATTCCTTGAAGGATTGACAGATACTTAAAATTCCCTGAACTATTGATAGACACCTGAAATTCCCTGAAAGATCAAAAGAAACCAGAAATTTCTTGAAGAATCAACAGACATTAGAAATTCCTTCAATGATCTACAGACACCAAAAATTACTTGAACAATTGACAGATACTTGTAGTAGGTGCCATCAGTTTAATGCAACAACATATTTACCATTTTGTCCCATTATCTTCAACCATCTTTGAAACAGCTTCATAGTTCCATCCTTCCAGACTTTTTCTAAGAATGAAATCAATAGCAAAGACACTTCTGTTTCTTTTTCAATCTAATCATTACCAATATTTATTTGGATTAGTCTAAAATATGACCATAATTGATAAGACTATCAACAGACTCCTGAAATTCCACAACTAATGACAGACACCTGAAATTCACCAAACTATCAATAGATTCCTGAAATTCCTGATTAAGAGACTTCTGAAATTCCCTGAACTATTGACAGACTCCTAAACTTTTATAGAAATAGTCTGAATGATTAGCTTGTTAACCAACACTTTATTGTGATGCACTATATAATTAGCCCTTGAATGATACAAAGATCTTCTTTATCATATCTCAAATTTCCTTTCTAATTGTTACAGAATATTAAAACATTTTTATTTTTTTAACACATTATATCAAATAGCTTACAATATAAAAGATAGCAATGAAAGATATGATATGAATACAATTAATTCATGAAATATTGGCCCAATGTAACTTATCAATGCAGTTGTTGGGGAAATCAAATGTTCTTGAAGCTATTAGAAGACCTAGCTCAAGAGATTCCAACCCTGCAGCAGTAACTCCCTTATTGAAATCTAAAGTGGAAAAATTAGTCGATATTGATGCCAGTGTGACAGTGCTAACAGAGAGTGGAAAATTTTATCATTAGCCTGTATTTATGGGGCACCTTACATTAAAATGACCTTGAGCCACATCAAGTAACTGCGGAGAGGTGGATAAATAGCAAAATGATAAAATATTGCAAAAATGGTATAGAGTAGTTTGTCAATGTTGTAAATACTGCACATGAAGTAAAAAGACAACATTGAATCCATTGCTAGGTCATTTACTAAAAAAGTTGGTTCACTGTGTTGTGCTAGACAATTTCTCTCTCCAGAATCTATCTTACATATCTATAAGTCTATCATTCACCCATGCTTAGAATATTTCAGCCATATATAATCTGGTGCTTCTGCTATTTATTTAGAGATTCTTGATAAAAACTAAAGAAGAATCAGCAATATTATTGGTCTTGACCTGGCATCTCAACGTCAGTCATTTTCACACCACCATAAAGTTGCTTCTCTGTGCCTTTTCTATAAATATCTCATGGTAATTGTTCGGATGAGCTCTTCACTATAATCTCAGCTTCAGTCACTTTCTCACCACAAAGTTTGTTCTCTGTGCCATTTTTATAAATACTTTCATGGTAATTCAAATTCAGTTCAAAAGAGCTCTTTACGATGGTACCTATATGAATTGAAGCACAGAACTAGATTGGCAGCAAGGTCTCAACATTTTACAGTTGAGTTGACTAAATGTAACTCTAAGTTCTATCCTAGCAGTTTCTTTTCTCACACTTCTCGCTTGTGAATTACTCTTCCGACCTCATACTTTCCCGCCAACTTTGATCTTCAAAAATTTAAATGCAATGTTAATCATTATCTGTTATATTCTTGATTCTTCTTCAGGTGTACTCCATAATAATGTTTTCTGTTTTTTCTTAATCTTTCCCACCCAGTCACCCCCTTGTGTCTTAATGGCTTTACTGCCTTGTATGAGGTGAATTAATTAAAAAAAAAATGTTTATACTTTTCATTGGTAAATTTGTTCCTCACAATTTTTTGCCAGTTCTGTTTTTATTCTAACATATGAATGATTTTTCAAAATTTTGCTTAATAACCTTTAAGAATATGGCTCATTTATAATTAAAATATATTCAAAGTAGTTAACAGTATTGGATTTAATAAGATAAACTAGTTTGCAAAGAAGATTAATAATTTTAATAAATAGTAATAGGATTTTTGCTGTAAAAAGAATTAGTTCATTGATTTACTAACAGAAGTACATTAAATAAATCAAGATCATTAGTAAGATAAGTTATTAATTTAAAGCTGCTGTTTGATTAAATTGATTTGAAAAAAATATATATATATATAAACAAACTATTAAATTTCTGATTCAAATAATTCACTGAAAGTGTTTTATGAATGTATTAAAAACTCCTGGGCTGAAAATGATAAAGAACATTTTATCAAGAAGACATTTTTTTAACTATTAATTTTTGCTCAGAAAAATATTTTGAAATATACAACTTGACATGCAATGCAAGAAAATGGAAAAAACATTTTAGTATGATATAACCTTTCCTGAATTTTTTTTTTAGAAAATAGAACTGTTACATCTAAACTATCTGAAGTTGTTGAAATGATGAGACCCTGCATCAATATTAGTTCCATTCATCTCATGACTTATTCTTACAGAAAGTCCATGTGAACAATTTTTCTTTGAAGCCATTTATAGAATATATACTGGAACCCATATATGTTTCTGGTGGGAAAGTGACAAAATTGAAATGACCAGGCCAAAACATCACATTGACAATATATATATATCAAATATATATTATATATTTTTGTTGTGTGTATTGGAGCATTATCTTGTTTGAGAAAATGTCATTTGCTCAACTCACTGAGTATCTTGTTGACAAAAATTTAGTTAATGTTATATTCCTTGTTGACAGCAATATATATTTATATAAATATAGTATTATATATATATTTTTGAAATTGTTCTTTGAAAAATGATTCTTTAAACAAATTAATAAAAAAAGCCAATTTAATTAGTTTTCCAGTATTCTATCATATAACCTGTTGTACTTTAGGTTTTCCAGATCCTTTTCCATGCCATAGAAACGTCTGACTTGAAACACATAATCAAACAATAAATAGATTACAAACTGTTAAAACCAGAACTTATGAGGACATCATTTTATTTTGACTTTAAAATAATGAATTATTTCTAATCCATCTAGTACAAAGCATGCTTAAATTTTTAGAGTCAATGTACCATAGATGGAGACGTTTATCAGAAAATTTAAAATAAAAGTATTTATAGAAAGCATAGGAACGACTTATTAAAACTTTGGGGAGATGACAGGTTAGGACATTATTACAGATTCTTTGAATTTTATGAAGAAATCTCTAAACAAAATAATCAACCAGAATATATGTTCAGTAATATAATAAGACAATGGACAAATGGTATACTTGTAAATATATAAAATAAATTCAAGTGAGCTGATATTGTCTAGCATAATACAATAAACCACCCTTCATAGTTGACAGACCCAGCAATTGATTCAATAAAATCTTTCCAAATGTGATAAGTGAAAATTTAGCCTGATATCTAACAACAAATCACTAATAATAATAATTCCAACTATCTCTGATGGAAGGCAGAAAATGTTCTCTCAGGTGATTAAAGATATATAGTTTATGTGTTAGATGTATTAAAATTATTAAGTATTACATATAATAACAGAATGGAGGTCATTTTTAGATCAGCTGCCAATTTGTAAAATCAAACAAATCAGAGTTAAATTAAAAAAGAAACAAATGGTTGCATCATCAGTTTATTTCTCCTGAAGTTGAGATTTTTGATGCCACCAGGAAGACCATTGAAAAAAATTAAAAACAACATAGGTCCAAGGATAGAGTCCTGGGAGATATCTGCATTAATATGAAAATATCTACAAGTGTGGTCATATATTATATATTTATTTATAATTCAGTAAGAAAAAGAAATACCATAACCTTTCAACTTGTGTGTTTATGTGTGTGTGTGTATATATATATATATATATATATATATATATTCAGTTTGCTAAGAATATATACAGTTATGACAGTTTTGATTGCATGTATTTTTCACTAATTATATATTATATGGGTGTATGTTTAGAAATGTTATTTTTTTATAATATATAAATTTGCATTTCATAAAATATCAATATTGTTATAAAACAAAGTGATGGCAATATTATTTGTTACACTGTATGTGATTTGTTTCTTTTATCTTTAAGCATTTTGTTGGTTCAAGAAAACTTTGCTATTTCTGCCTTAAATTTTTTTTGATTTATAGTTTAGTTAAATTTAATTTGGTGGGTGAAAATATGAACATAAAAATTTATTAATTCATCATTTATCCATTGTATACTTATTTATACACAATGTTTTATTTTATCAGAAACAATCCAAAATTTCTGATTTGCATATGATGTTATTTGGATAACAAAACTCTTTTTACAATGTCAGTTTATTATGTAACATTAACTTCTTTGTTAGATGCCAACTTCATTTAAAGTCAGTTTGTTGCTTCACTTCTTCCAGAATAGGTTTCCCTATATTCAGGGATACAAAAAATGCAAGCTCAATCTCAAATTTGCTTTCAAACAATGGCAAATTTAATTATAAAACCACATTTCATCTTTCCATTGAATTGTTGAACATTTTAAATATGGCTCTCTGTATTAATATTTATTTGGTTTTGTTGTCTGTTTTCTACAAATTTCATTATCTATATGTTTGCATTTTCAGTTTTCTATATGTATGAATGGATTATGTGACAAAGAGCTTTAATCACTTTAACACTTTTGATGAGAAACATTAGATTATTTTGCAAAAAATATTTCATATATATCAATAATTATGAATTTATGAAAAAAGAAGTTCTACTTTTCATCAATTTGACATTGAAAAGTTTTCCTTGATTGCCCAGTTAACATCCTTCTCCATCTTTTGAACAGCAAAAGTTTCCCCACCTACATTGGCATGTCAAATCATTCTTCTAGTCAGTGTTTTTCACCCCAAACCAATCCCAGTCCCCCCTCATTTCTTAGTGGCATTATTGAATGGTTTTTTGGAGTGAAAGGCAGAGTGAAAGAGCAATTCAATAATTCAGCTTTCCTCTCCCAAGGTTCTTCATGGTTAATCAAACTGCATTTTTATTTTTGTTGGATCTAAAATATGGAATTCATTATTCAAAAAATTGAACAAAAAATAAAAGTCATAAATTTATTTAAAATGTAATTAAATTATTGCTTTTGGTTGGTAGTAATTCATTAAGTGGTTTATAAATAAAACCAGTAATTCTTATAATCTTTCAAACCCCACCCAAATCTAAGAGATTTATTCATCAAAGTAATATTTTAAAAAATTTTCTGCCAAGGTTGAAAGTTGCTAAATTTTCTCTGAATTCTTGAATTATTTCTTGGCAAGGGATGAAATTAAAGTGGTAGTGCATATTTAGTTTTAAAAAATGGTTTATAGGAATTTTGTTTGACAGACATTTTTTCATCTTCACTCGATATTTGTTCTCAAACTCAATATTATTTGACAAAGACCATCCCTCCTAAAAGTCCCATATTGTTCAATAGCACAATTTCAGCAATAAACTCATAGACTTATCAAAAGTCTTAACCCCAAAAAAGCCACTGGCACAAACAAAATTCCAATGGTCATCCTTAAGAATATCAACCCAGAGTTAGCCATAATTCTACCAAAGTTATTTAACCACTGCTTGAAGGTTTCTTCAAGCATGTGGAAAAAATATGCCCCTGTCTTCAAGAACACAGGCAACCAATCCTCCCCTCCCAATATAGACACATTAGTCTCTTTAGTTTCATCAGTAAGTTTTTTGAGGCCTTAATTAATAAGAAGGTAGTCAAGCACCTAGATAGAAACAACCACTTATGCAACGAGCGGTATGGGTTTAAATCAGCCCAACCCACTGCTGACATTCTACCATGACACAGAATTATTAAGGTCCTTGATGACACACATACAGCAAGGACGATAGCATTAAATATTTCAAAGGTCTTCAACAAAGTGTGGCACAAAGGTTGTCTACACAAGCTCTCCAAATATGAAATCACAGGAAGAGTTTTCTCTATTATAAAATCCTTCCTGTAAGGTAGTTCCCTGACGGTAGTTATTAACAACCAGTCCTTCAGTCAATCCAGGTGTCCCACAGGAGTCACTTCTCAAATCAACCCTCTTTACATAAATGGTCTACTTAAGAATATACTCTGGTCATTTGTAAATGTCTATGCTGATGACATGACGATATACAGATGCACCTCTAAAAGTCTTGACAATCAGAGATTGGCAGCTAACCTCACTTCCAATCTAATACTAACTTCCCAATGGAGAAAAACTGGCTGTTTATATTCAAACTGGTTTCATTCAATCACTGCCAATCAGACCCCAAACTACTGCTAGTCACAATGAATGAATGTCTCCTTGAGGAGACCTCGTGCCTCACATCTGACCTCAAGTGGAATTCCTATATACAATCCATTACTAAAATGTAAGTAAAAAGATTGGCTCCCTGCACCGCTCCAGTAAGCACCTTATCCTCTATCTTTATAAGAGCCAGATTAGGCTGAAAATGGAGTACTGTAGCCATATTTAGACAGGAGCTGCCCAGATCTCACTTTTCAGTCTTGATAGAGTTCAAAAGCATCTCCACATCCTTGTTGAAGATTAATTATTTTCCACACTCCAAACTCTCTCTCTCTGACAGGCAGGACGTGGCAAGTCTCTCACTGCTCTATCGCTGCTACTACCATGGAAAGTGCTTGGACAAACTCCATCTCCTGGTTCCACCAAGTATAACCTTCACAGCTAGGACCTGCGATACCACTGACATAGAAGCAAACCATCCACATTCTATCAGCAAGAAGTAAGTTGCACTGAAACAGCTTCTCCTCGTGAACCACTGCCCTGTGGAATAGACTCCTAAGAGGATGTTTCCCCAATCGCTACAAGCTTAACTTGTTCAAGTTTAGAGTTAACCATTATGTTACCCTCCTATCAGTATAAACTATCTCTTAACATAACCCACTACCTCGAGTGCCCTAGGCCTTTTAAAGAGTGAACCTTACTGTAAACAAAAAAAAGATATTTACTATCAATATGTGTGTGTGTGTGTGTGTGTGTATAATTTCTCTGATAAATATGTGTGTATGCACATAAATTATCTGAGATATATGTGGTGTGTGTATACATGCACTTAATTTCTTTGATCTATACATGTGTGTGTGTGTGTGTGTGTGTGTGTGTATGTGTATTATGTTTGTGTATGCACAAAAGATGAAGATGCTTTTGAATGAATACCAAAAGAAAATACTTTTCTATTCTTTACTTATCTACACGACACCACCACCACCACCCACAATTTCTTTTATTCTTCTGAATTTTTCACAAGGTGAGCAAATAAGGAATAATGGCAAAAGAAGAGAAGACTACTTCTCCGCCTTTAGGAAGGAAAGAAGAGGAAGCTGACCAAACCCTATTTGAGGGAGAGAGGGAGGGAGAGAGAAAAAAAGAGAGAAAAGAACAAAGAAGGAAAAGAATTGGTTTCATCACCTGCCAGTATTACCTGAAAATGATAAACAGCTATTTGGGTTATCTTATTATGTTTGCAGGTGTGCAGCACCATATACATGCCTAAATCTGAAAAAATATATGTGTATTTAAAAAAAATATGCATATATATATATATATATATATATATATATAGATAGATAGATAGATAGGTAGATATAAGTTTCATTAAAAACAACTGATAAGGTTCTGCAGTTGAGTTTTTTATTTAATTTTTTTTATGTTCTAACAATTTTCTCCTTTTCTGTCTCTGTAAGTCCAAGCACTTTCAGCTATAAAAACATCCAATATATGTAGAATATATAAATATTTATATATAAATGTCCAATATATGCAGAAATTGTCCAAATGTTTTGTATATCCGAGTCCTTTTAGCCATTATCAAGGATGA